AGAGAAGCTGTGGTATATCCACACAATGGAATACTATGCAGCATTGAAAAACAAGGAACTCATGCAATATTATTCAAAGTGGATGACCCTGGAGGACATTATACAGATATGTTTTTTAAGACACATAAACACAGGTTATATACATGGATTTCACCTGCTGGTATGCATATGCTGAAAGAACCACTGGAGAAGCTCAGTATCAGCTATGAAAACTAGGCCAGGAGCTGATTGTGGCACAGACCACCAACCACTCATATGCAAGTTCAAGCTGAAGTGGAGGAAAATTAAACCGAATCCAAGGGAGCCAAAATATTTCTTTGAGTCTATCCCACCTGAATTTCAGAGCCATCTAAGGAATAGGCTTGAGGCCTTGAACACTAATGAGCGAAGACCAGATGAGTTGTGGGAGGATATCAAGGGTATCATCCAGGAAGAGTACAAACGGTCATTGCAAAGACAGAAGAGGAAGAAAAGACCAAAATGGATGCCAAAAGATACTCTGAAAATTGCACTGGAGCGCAGAGAAGCCAAAGCACAGGGAAGAATTCAAGATACTAAAGAGTTGAATAGAAGATTTCTAAAGCAGCAAGGGATGACAAAGTAAAATAGTACAATGAAATGTGCAAGGAGTTGGAGTCAGAAAATCGAAAGGGCCGAACTCGCTCAGCATTTCTTAAGCTCAAGGAACTGAAGAACAAGTTCAAACCTCAAGTTGCTATAATCAAGGATGCTTTAGGCAGAGTATTAAATGATCCAGGAAGTATTAAAAGAAGATGGAAAGAATATACTGAGTCACTGTATCAAAAGGAATTGGCAGACACAGAAGAATTTAATGAAACAACATATGAGCAAGAGTCTATGGTGATGAAAGAAGAAGTTCAGGCTGCTTTGAAGGAAATAGCAAAAAATATGGCCCCAGGAATTGATGGTATAAGAACTGCCATATTTCAGCTAACAGATGCTGTCCTGGACGTGCTCACCAAGTTGTGCCAAGAAATCTGGAGAACAACCACTTGGCCAACTGACTGGAAGAGATCTATATTTGTTC